CACGCCCAGCTAATTTTTTATTTATTGTAGAGATGAGGTCTCGTCAAGTTGCCCAGGCGGCTCTCGAACCTGTGGGCTCCGGCAGTCCACTCATTTTGGCCTCCCAAAGTGCTGGGATTACAGGCTGAGCCACCGAGCCCGGCCTCAATCAGGCTGTTTCTATTACTCACTTCAGTTTTCTGTATATAAATGCTGCCTGTCCAATTTGCAGAGCATAGCCTCTCTGGACCTCATCTGGTTCCAAGGGCTGCCCAGTTCTCAACTAGTTTTTTGCTCAAATAAACTGTTAAATTTAACATGTTTAAATTTTTTCTTTTAACAGTATACTTGCATATTATTATGCAAGAATTTGTTGTATAAGGACAAAATTAGTAAAACCTATATGAAGGTCATTTCTAAAAGGAATCTTAATTGAAATATGTAATGTATATATGAAATGAAAAGTAAATTAATACTGTTTTTGTGCTTCACTTTCAAAAGTTTAGTTTATTTAAATTATGTTGCAAAATTTAATTTTAGAACGTGAGAAATTTTAGATATTACTTCTTAAAAATGTTGTCATTTTCAAGTACCTTTAGGCCATATTGTTAAGTGGAAGTGTTTAAGAAAATAAAATTTGCTTAATCACTATTCTGCTGTTTTGAGTTGTACTTCATTTGCATATCAAATAGACTAAGAGACTAACTGTAAACTTACTGGGGAAAGTTAATTTATTACAGTGGATGTACTTTGTAGTTTATCTTTTTTTGAGTTGGAGTCTCACTCTGTCGCCCAGACTGGAGTGCAGTGGCCGCCCCCGGCCACTGCAGCCTTGACCTGCTGGGCTCCTGAGATCCTTCTGCCTCAGCCTTCCGAGTAGCCAGAATTACAGGCACAAGCTACCATGCCCGGCTGATTTTTGATTTATTGTAGAGATGAGGTCTCGCCAAGTTGCCCAGGCAGGTCTCGAACCTGCGGGCTCAGGCAGTCCACTCACCTCAGCCTCCCAAAGCGTGGGATTACAGGCTGAGCCACGGAGCCTGGCTGTAGTTTATCTTAAGGGAATAATTTGGACTTTTTTTTTTTTTTTTTTTAAGGAATGGCTAGAATGTTTACTATTGTAGCATTATTATCTTGGGAATGTATTTGTATAGTCAGTTCTTATTATTCAAGGTGGTTATGTGTTGTAAAGTTGTCACAAACTTTGAATGACCAAATCCTGACCCATTGCTTTTAGGAGAAATACAGGGTTAGGTTTCTACGAGTCTCTGCTCATTTTTGTTAATCAATTAATATATATCTTGTTTTATGTGTTTCTGTTTAAAGATACTTTATTTAATATATGATATTAAGTCATTAACATTGATCCCACAATCAACAGCATATACTGTGTAAACAAAGCTTGTGTAAACAAAGCTTATTTAACACAGGTATTTTCTCTGTAAGGCACATCACAACCTTCCTGTGCTTAGGAGCATTACCTTCAGAACTACGTTTGGTGGCCATTTGAAAGAGTAAAGTCACTAAAAAAAAGCTCAAAAATTCAAAAATTGTAACCTAAATAGATTATAAAAAGGACACTTCACAGTATCAGAGCTGAAGCAAAGCAGAGCATTACCTTATTTGACATTAGCTAGGAACATGTGCGGTTGGGTGTCTCAAATTTTTGCTGATCTGCTCATGTCTGCACATGACTATGAAAGTGCTGTGATTGCCGGTCTCGGTGGCTCAGCCTGTAATCCTGCGCCTTTGGGAGGCTGAGGTGAGTGGATTGCCTGAGCCCGCGGGTTCGAGACCCGCCTGGGCAACTTGGCGAGACCTCATCTCTACAATAAATCAAAAAATTATTAACCGGGCGTGGTAGCACGCGCCTGTAGTTCCAGTTACTTGGAAGGCTGAGGCGGAAGGATCACCGGAGCCCAGCAGGTCTAGGCTGCGGTGGCCGGGAGCGGCCACTGCACTCCAGTCTGGGTGACAGAGTGAAACTCCAACTCAAAAAACAAACAAACAAATAAATAAATATATATATATACATATAAAAAGAACCTTGGCTCAATTAAAAAAAAAGAAATATACCATCCAAATTTAAAACCAGCATCTATGTATTATTTTAAAAAGAGCAGCAAGGCATGTGGTTGCCATTTTCACCTTGACCCTCCACTGTCACAGGAAGGGAACCACACAGACAACAGGATTGAGGAAGTCCTCTCGCCAGTCTAGAGTGTGAGTTACTGGAGAAACAACTTGCTTTCACAGACATGAAGGAGAAGACAGCAGGAACAGAGCACCTACACTTGCGTGTCTGAGATAATTCCAGAAGTTTGGGGACTGATAGACCTGACTTACAGTTAGACCAGTGTCGACAATTAGAACTACAAAAAAGTTGGAAATTATGGTAGCACGTGGCCAGTGGGCAGTGTTATTTTCCCTATGTGCACAAATACAAAGACATTTCTCTCTGACCTTAGGTAAACTAGTTTCACTATCCATACATAGAAGTTAGGAATCATAGCATTTCTGATCTTCAACGTATAGAAGTGTTATACAGAGCAAATTCCCCTTTTTTTCCTTTGAAAAATCATG